CAGAATAAGTGCTTGCTTGGCAAGTTTAGGGTCCTGAGTTCAATCCTCAGTACCACCGGAAAAATGAAAAAAAAGAAAGAAAAAGAAAAGAGCCTTTAAGGCTCACTTTGGCCAGCACTAGGGAGGCTGAAGTATGAGGACTGTGGTGAGTTCTGGGCCAGCCTGTGCTCCACAGTGAATTCAGAGGCCAGCCTCCACTACACAGCAAAACCCCACCTCAAAGGAAAAAAAACAAAACCAAAAAAACTCATCTACTATTCCTGCCCCCTTTCCAGGTATAATTTTCAGGAAGGCCTGGCTTCCACCCCTCGATACAAATACCATGTAAGAACCTCAGCTATTCACAGTAGGAGAAAAACCATGCCTAGTTCTGGGGTTCCACTCAGTCACTGACCCCAACCCTTCCCAACCTACCTCCCATTCCAGCCAAGATTGGACAGGTGCATCTATGTCACCCAGTGATTATTTTGGAAGACCCCATGCATAGACAAAAAAAAAAAAAAAAGGCTTCAATACTAATTGTGATCACTAAGATCTCTGAATTCATTTATGCATCCCATCTTTGGTCTCTCTGCTTTCCTTTGGATACCTTTTTCTTATTTCATCTTTTTCTCAACTAGTTTGAGTGAAGTGCTGACTGATGGACCAACTTCCCACTGGGCTACATTCTCAGCTCTTTTTGTATTTTACATTTTGTGACAGAGTCCCACTAAACTGTCCAGCCTGCGCTCAAATTTGTGATCCTCCTGTCTCAGCCTCCAAGTGTCGCAGTGACAGGCATGTGCCCCCAACCCTGCTCAGCTCACCCCCTCAAAGTGTACAGTTCTGTGGGTTCAATGACACTCACAGATCTGTGCAACCAGCACCACCACTGCCTTTTAATTTTAATTTCCCCAAAGTATACTTTCTTCCTGTTAGGGTCTGAGGCAACACCCCTGGTCTTGTGTTAACACATTGTGGAAGGCATTTCTCTGGGTGGGAAACTTGGTTTGGAGATTTCCTTTTGGTCCAGTTGTGCTGACACCAGGAGTTGTGCTGGTTGACACTGATGTTTCAGCAGAGTTTTTAGTAATATTTCAGAAGGTTTTTGTTGTTCTTTTGTCTTTCACCTTCAGGGTTACTGTGACTGTCTTGGGCTCCATTCTCACTGCAGTGTGAATGGTCAGTCTGTGCCAGGGAGGCTCTGAGTCCCCACTGTCCCCCTGTGCCACTGTGGAAGAGGCCTCTTTCCAACAGCACTGGTGGTGGATTTTGTTCAAGATCAAAGTTAGACAGATGCTCAATGTGTTTTCATCTATTGCTTAGGAGCACTTTTATTTCTAACTAGAAGCATTCTGTTGGCACTTCTTACGCTTAAGATTTTTTTCACTGATTTGTAGAAGCTATTTTAGTGAAGAATATAAAAAATAGTCATAAAAATTTATTGCAGTAAAAGACACATTGCCAAGAATAATGGGATAAATATGTTCAAAGCAAGGAGGAGATATTTTGAGGGAGATTAACAGCAATGTTTCTTTTACTGTAATAAAAATTTTAAACATTCATTGTATTTTTTTAACACTTCATTGATCAACTTTTTATGGCAATTTCTGTCAAATAATATTACTGTGTCCTCCTCCACCTTATTCACCAGACCTGCACTGTGTGACCCCTGGCTCTGCCCCAAAGTCTAAATGATCATGAACAAGAAATATTTTTAATCGGCTCAGAACACTGAGGCAGCCAGGACAGCACAACGGAAGACCCTCAGGAAAGAGGGCTTCAGAGCCGCTGCACAAAGTGGCAAGGACCAAGGGATGAGTGTGTTAGAAGTAAGGAGGAGGGTTCATGTGTCTTTTACCATGCTAAATTAAAAGGTGGGCGAACATTCTCTGTATTTTTTCTTTTCTTTCTTTCTTGGTACCAGGGATTGAACTCAGGATCTTATGCTTTCCAGGCAGGTGCTTCTACCACTGAGCTGTATCCCCAGCCCCACCATAATTTTTCATGCTGGGTACTGACTCGCTTCTAACAAGCAGGATGTATCAGCGTATCACTTCCCAAGTCAGGCTCCCAACCCCTTCCCACCTTCTCCCTAGGATCACCATCTGGGAGCAGCTGCCTTGGCCAGAGAGCTGCACGCGAGCCCTCCAAGCCCTCCACAGGACTGCTGTGGGTGCAGCAGAGGCCTCCCAGCAGAAGCCAGGAGGGAGCTGCCTGGGCACCAACTGTTCCAGCAAGGCGGGCCTTCAGGGGTCTGCCACTTCAGAGCCAGTAGGCTAGGACTGCCCAGTGAGGCCACTTCCTGATTCCTGACCCACAGAAACTGAGATAATAAACATTTATTTCAAGCCACTGAGTTTTGTGGTAATTTGCATGCAGCAGCGGATGACTGATACAAAGTGCGAAAGAATTTTAAATAAATTTGCTTCTTGAGTTAGAATAATCATACAAGAAGTACAAAATAGTCAGGCTTGCCTATAATCCCAGCACTCTGAGAAGCCAAGGCAGAAGGATCACATAGGGAGCCCAGCCTGGGCAATATAGTACTTTAGTGAAACCCTGTCTCAATATAAAATTAATAAAGGGCTGGGGATACAGCTCAGTTCAAAAGTTCTGGATGCCACAAATGCAAAAAGCTTTTGAAGTAATTTTAAAATACTATAATTAATAATTCGTGTGCTCTCCCTCTGAGCTACATCCCAGCCTGTGTTGCTGCATTTAAAAAGTATTTGTTGCCATTATTTGCTCAATATTTTTAATTTTCTAAAAAGGATCAGTCCCAGCAGCTACAGGACACCTATAGCATGACAGGCTCTGCATCACCCTCTTCATCTCTCATTGCCACCTTCTATAGGACCTCCTCAGCTTTGCCATCCAGCTTACCAATCCAGGATGTGACTTTATCCCTTAACTCTCCGAGTGAATTTACTTTTGATTTTTATTAGTCTGCGTTTGCAGTACACAACAATCACATGCTCGTGGAAGGGCAGTCCATGGATAGAACACATCTTCACTTTTTTCACGTCTCCCTCCTGCCCTCTCCCTCCAGTTCTTAGTCCCTTTCTCTTTGCAAAAGAGCAAAATCCTTACTTTCTAATATATTTCATTTAGCTCTTTATATTTTGGGTTTCTCATGTAAGAGAAAGTATACGATTTTTAAGCTTATGTCTGACTTAGTTCACACAGCATCTATTTTCCTACAAATGA